GGTCACCGGTGACCCCCGTGGCGCTACGAACAAACACAGTGCCGGTCACCGGTGACCCCCATATATATATAGTTAAAAATATGGAGAAAACATAGACAATAATAAAGATTAATGAAAAGAGAAAAATAAAAAATTTAAAAGAAAAATTATTAAAAAGCCGGAAAATAAAATAATGAAAATATACAATCTCTTCAACAGTTTACACGACTATATCAGCAAAAAGGAGTGCTTTCTAATATTATATCAATATAGCTGAAGCAAAATATATCAATAGTGTGAGGATAGATTATAGATTTCGTTTGTATTTTGTTTTCTTTCTTTGTGTGTTGTGTTTATCTTATTGTGTTTTGTTCTGTATTTCTGTTTTTTTTTTTTTTTTTTTTTTTTTTTTTTTTTTTTTTTTTTTTTTTTTTTTGCTTGATATGTTTTATTTCGTATACATCTCTAACTTAAATTATTATTGAGTGCTCCTCACACTATTGTATTGATATATTTTGCTCTGGCTATATTGACACAATATTGGAAAGCACTCCTGTTTGCGGATATAATCGTGCTAGCTGACAAAGAAATCTCTTTTTAAATATTATTTCCCGGCTTTTTATTATAATTTTTTCAAAATATTTTTTTAAAAAAAAATTAAAACTGCTAGCAACAGAATTTTGAAAATTATGTTGCCAACAGTTTGATAAGTCAGAAGAGTTGCATAATTTTCAATTGTTAAACGTTTTGCAAATCCTCTTTCATTTGCAATTAATATAACAATCAAATTAAGAAGAAATCTTCATTTATTTATTCATTCATTTATTTCGTCAATAATTACTTTATTAGTAACAGATAATGTTGTTAATTAAATTAGAAAAGAAAAATTAAATTAATAACATAATGACTTGCATCTAAACTAATATTATAGTTAATAACTAATAATATATTTGTTATATAATTATTAAGATTATGTAACTAGTAGTTCAGTAAACTGGAAGAGTTAAGTAATTTCTAACTGTTAAACATTTTACAATTCATCTTTTATCTGTGGTTAAAAAGACAATCAAATCAAGAAAAAAGATTTTTTTGAAAAAAAATCGCAGTAATTGCAGAACCAAAAAATTAAAAAAGCATTTAGGCTTACAATGAAATAAACAC